CCCCCACCCCCCCCACCCACACCTCGTGCTGCGGATAGAGATGACCATGCAGCTGTGCTCACCTGCAGTGTGACCTGGTGATTTCGGGGTTGTACCATGGAGGCACCTAGAATAGCAGCACTTAGCTTAACCTGGGGATAGGAAAGGGCTCCCCAGAGATGTCTTTGTCCTTGAACCTCAGAGGATAGGAAGATATGGGAGGGTGGCAGGGTGACTGGAGAGTAAAGGGTGAGCAGGAGATGGAGGGTCGCCATCTGGGCCAAGAGGCAGCCATGGCACAAGACCCCTCCTGGTCAGTGCGCTGGGCCCCGGGCGGAGCACGAGGGCTAGGCCCAGGCCTCACTGTGTTAAAAGGGGAACAAACAGGGCATGCCGAGGGTGCGTGGTGGGCACTGTCCTCTGCTCATTCGGAGACAACGCAGTGCCTGCAGTGTGGTCCTCCCCCAAATCGAAGTTTGCAAGGCGAGGGCAGTGAGGCTGCCGGGTCCCTCCTTCCCAGATCTCGCCGTTTTCCTGGGGGTTTCTGCAGCCCAGTAGCAGGGCTGGGCACCTGTGGGAACAGCACTGACCCATGTCTGTGTCGGCTCTCATCTCCCCAAAGGCAGCAGGCCCTGGAGCAGGAGCAAGAAGAACTGTTTCCGCAGGACTGTCCCACTTTTGACTCCTTGGATCTCGAGAAGGAGGATGTGCCTCTCACACCCGAGCACAGGTAGGAAGCCATGGGGGAACAGGTTGGGTAGAGGGGGTTAGGGAGGCTGCGGGTCTCCATGCTGGAGCTTTTCCTCTGTGTAAGCTGCAGCCATTCACCGGAGCAGAACTCTCTGCCACTGTGTTGAGGGACTGAGGGCGTGGGGTGGGAGAAGGGGACCAAGGGCAAAGGAGGCCGGGGCAGTAATCGGGAGAAGTGAGGGTGGGTGGTGAGTGGGCAAGTTCTGGTCATATATTCAGGGTAGAGCCGATGTGAATGACTGAGGACCTGGATGGGAGGGAGGGTATGGGAGAAAGATAAGAGTCCAAGGGGCCTGAGCAAGTGGGAGGTTGGAACTGTCTGTGATTGCCTTGGGCAAACCAAGGACTCGGAGTGGGGTGAGCGCTCACTTGGGGGATCCTGGGGCGGGATGGAGGAGGCAGCTGGATGCCTTATCTAGAGAGGTGAGCTTGGGAGTCCCTATGTACAGATGACATTTAAAGCCACAGAATTGGGCGACAGTGCCTGGGGAGGGGATATTGAGAGGAGAGGCAGAGCCAAGGGTTCAATATACAGGTCACATTGACCCTGACAGGAGCCTCTGTGGTAGATGCCTTGGGGTGCATGTGACTACATAGGTTCCCAGGAGAACAGGGCAGTACGAGGTGTGGGAGAGCTGAGTCGGGACAGGTCTTCCTGTCTGTCTGTCTTTTCCTTCTTTCTTGCCTCCCTCTTTCCAAAAAAATGCTCAGAAGGGCAGACACCTTAGTCCTGTGACCGGGGGCGGGCTGGTCAACACCTGGATCTCCAGGCTTTGCTTTTCCATGAGTCTCAGTGCTGTCAGTCAGTGTTGGTCCACACAGTGACTGGTGAAGGTTGAGATACTCTCCAAGTTAGCTTGGTGGCAGGGACACTGAGTGAAGCATATGGACTTCCCAAGGCCGACACATCAGTGAACAAGCACACCCGTGCCACCGTCAAACCCCATTTAAAGAAGCAGCAGGCGTCACCGCAGACCTGGCCCAGATTCGGGGCCCTGCCTCCGGCCTGGTACTGGTTGGTTCTCACTGTGCAAATCTGAGCGATCAGACAGGACCCTGCTCAGAGACCCATGGGAGGGTGCTGTGTGGCCACACGGTGCTGCCAAGGAGAGACGTGCCGAGCATGGGGTCTGAATGGAGCCAGCAGTTTTGGGCCAAAGGCCTTGGTGGTGTCATAGGTGAGGAAAGCACTTTTCTCTGTGTTGGGGCTTGTGGATTTCGTGTCCAGGTTCCCCATTCACTGGATAGATAGCCTTGGAACTGAATCATTTAAAACTTTTAAAAAATCTCTGTGGTTAGATAGTTATTCTAGCTCTTTGCCTTCCTGCTCT